CATTCTGAATAAACGGTCAACACTGACTACATTACTTCTTCCACATGGTGTTAGAAAATACAACGAAGGGAAGTCGAGGCTATTGTTGAAAGACTTCCTTGATGATGCAACAATACTCATAAGGAATAAACACCAATACTAACACAGTGTTTCAAGGTAAATCTTTTTTTCTTTGAGAAAGGTTACACAAAAGAAAAGTGTATTTTCCGATGAGCTGCGAGCTCGGTTTGAAACTGAATATCATTAAATTACCTCAACGGAAAACAGACTAGTCTAACTGCAGTTTGAATGAACCACTTTTAACCCATTTTCACAGGGTTCAGTCGGAATAGAGCAAAATGATTTGTGATCGCCGATTCAAGTTGAGTTAAATGGTATAAGCTATTCATGAATAGAATTGCGAACCAATGGGGTTGTGAACTCTGGAGCGAACCAAATAATGATGAAGTCATGTGGACGCAAGCACGGTTTATAAAGAATAAATGAAGCATAAACTGTGTGCAGGGAACATTTACAGCAGAACCAATCTAGGCTAGATTTCAGTTATGCTCGTTTTTCGTCAGCCTGGATGCTCCATTTTGTCAAATTTCTTCAACTTCGCTACACTCAAACGAAAATTATCTCATGCGAAGTTTCCATTGTCGACAGAAAATTTCCGAATCCGAGGGGAAACTCGCGTAACTCCGTCTCGAAAAAAACGGGATACAGTAGTTGAAATTCACTTGGTGCAGAGAACGGACGATTAATCCTTATCATTTCACCCTGTTTTATGAGTCCTTTGCACCACCATCATTCAGTAGTTTATCAGGTACTTCCACGAGTATGATTAACTAGAAATATACTTGTTTGACAAAAACGGAATCTCGAAATCTACTCAAAATGAATACTCAGACAAGAATTTGATTTCAGAAATCACTGCGCTCCATACACGATTGTGCTGGTACTAATGAAATAAGGACTTCTTTTATTGGGGGGGGGGGGCAAATGGTCGTTCACAAGAAGTTGTATTTGCCAACGGAAAACATGGTGTTTCTGCAAGCAGAAAAAACGGAAACGTGAGATTTCAAATATTTTGAATGAAAATGAGTTACCCATCGCTTTGTGATGAATAATATTGCGTTCGTCATAACAATAATGTACACTATTACATAACTTGCTCTGCTGATGAACACAACATTTCCTACTTCCTTTTTTCAGCATTTCTCGTTCAGTAAGATGTTGATGTGCGCGGTCCCGGAAGAGAGTCACTTCAACTTCTTTTTTTTTGCCATGCAAATGACCACAACTCGACTTACTGTGATACAAGTCTTGTGCTCGATTATGCATTTGGCGTATTTCGGCTCATCGGGCTGTCACCATAGTGATGCTACCGCACATCGTATGCATTTACCAGCAAGGAACATAAAAATAATCGGCGAATTTCTGACGATTCCGACCGTTTCAGTGACCACATTCTCAGTTGCCAGTGACGTTGGTGTGTCAAATAGTTGTTGCAGTTGCATTTCATTGTTATCGTCGTTTTCATAACAACACTGTAAACATTTTGGTCTACGCCTCGAAAATGGTATTCTGCTATGAATATCTTCAGAATGTTATCGAAAGTTCACTGTTTTACATGTGTCAGGACGATATTGATTGTTTCTGACACTGACGCAATGGCCGAAATAGTGGACAAACGTACTGACAGTTTCCGATCGTCAAGCTGGAAGACAAATTATGAGTGTGTATATTCAGCGTGCCGCGTGACACATCATGAAACCATCAGGCTTTCAATTGGTAACCACTGAGGATATTGCAATTCTGGCTACCTCAAAGCTAACGGAATTTTAGAAACGAAGTGGGCAAGTTCAAGTACGTTCCATAAGGTCGGTAAGCATTTCGTCGCTCATAGATTTGAACGTCTGACGACATCAGGCACTTCCACTTCGAAAAAGATAAGCAAGTGCATCAGATGGTACGAGGATTCACATTTAGTAAAACCTTGGTTAACAATTATTTTACAATGAATGTCAAATTTGGCTAAATGCGCATATGAAGGAATCAGTTTCTTCACAGTAAATCTGAGGGTGAATATTGATTGACACATGGAGTGCCTTTTCGAAGTCCTGAAAAAAATTCCAAGAGTAGTCTAACACCATTTCACCTGGAGTCTGTACTGCAGTTCCTCTTTGATTGCCATAAAGGAGGTTATCGAAGACTCCATCTGAAGTTATACTCGGAAATGCCTTTTAAGTTATGAGCACTGTGCACACACCGTGGCTAAGACAAACATGTTCCCCTCGAGAACGCCAAGTGGACAAACCTCAAGTGACCTGAGGGAGCAATCTTGTCTCTACATTGACGCTTGCAGTGAAAGGGATTGTAGGAACAAATTCCATTTATCTGAACTGGATGACTACTGCGCAGATGCTGACCAGATGCGCCAACTCCTTATGGCTAACGTGTGCAGTACCTATAAAAATACATCACTTCGTGAATGTCTGTCTGCAGTGATTTTGCAAAGCCGGAACATCAGCAGCGCTAAGAGCATAGAGATGCTCCGTTGGGATGTATTCGAACTCACTGAGTTATGCGCTATAGGTTGTTTTTCAGTTGGATAATACGCTAGTAAAACGATAATAGTAACTCGTTCGCGGTAAAATACGAGCAATTTCGTCTACAGTCCGTCCAGGAAGAATATTGTTCAGTCCGTATATCACATGAGTACTCAAACAAATGTAAAAACTAAGATTCCGACGAAAACGTGGAAAGTTATCTAAGACACTCAGAAGTCAAACACTAGTTTATCTATTTGGGTTCTGTTAGAAATGTAATGTTTGAATGTGCGATGAAATGTTATTTTCCGAATAAGCAACATTACACAGACTTGACTTTGTTTCAGCGTACAACACTTATATATTTATGAAAATCCGAGTAACCTAACTACCGAGATGTCCACTCGAAAATACGTTTTACCGCATACGCCAAAACGGAGAGAAAATTGATCCCCCAGATAATCTGAGGCTTGTCTACTCTGCTGTTTTGAGTAAAAGAGGGGGGCAATTTCATCGACCCTGATTTGTGCATGGAGGGCCGAACCGTGCACACACAAAAAGGGTCCTTCCGGAACATACATGCAAACTATGCGCGTCGAAGCAATCGCTCAATAATATTGCTCACAAATTTGCACCATTGCCGCCAGTACATTTTGCCGTGAAACCGAAATTATCGACGGAATATTTTGTTCCCTAACACAACCCATCGCAAGTCTACAAGAAAATAATCGAGTTCGACATAAATCAAGCTAGTGGTCCACAATGCTTCCCAACAACCATCTTGTACCCGATTAGAACTTCACACTACCAAAATTGATTCCGTCTTAATATATGAGAACAGTGAGAAGTAAGACCTATAACGCCAATGGAATAATGAATAATGTAATGAATATAGTGCATGTCAAGTATTTTTGGCACCATACAAAATCATATGGCAAACGATCCCCGATATGATCCCGTTGTTTCACTACTCATGCAATGAGTCAGATATTGTAGCTCCTCAAACGAAATCTATTTTCTTCCATCGCTCATCGGGAAATAAACGCTCTTCATGAGGTGTTCAATGATGAGGTGATGGAATCAATTTTACGGAGTCATCATATAAATATAGATGAAATGCAGTGCTATTTGTTCAGTTCAAATATACAGCAAAGGCAATCCTTTTGTGCAAGTTCATTTGGATGTACGGTGTAACTTTTACCAGGCTTCATATTATCACCTCATTTGAAATTGAACACTGACCGGGTTCAATGTGAATAGGGCTCTTACTTTTATATTGATGATTTGTATCCCTTTGATTGAACTTTGCAGCCATTTCGTGACTTTTCCCGAATATACATTTTGCGGGTTTCATCAAATCATCGCCACAATCCTCAATTAGATTCACAGTTAGGGAAGGCTTCGAATTCTATCGAGCATACAAAGATGAAATGTTTGATTAGACATCATGACTGCCCGTGTGAGTTTTTCCGTCCTAGCATAGGGTGTCACCAACTCACAAGCCTTTTTATTTCGTGTGATTGTACTAGTTCGACTTGAGACCCAATCAGGTTTTGGCGAAATGATACCAAGTAAAATGCTTGCAGAAGTCAAGAAAGCATTCCTCTAGAACCAACAGTGCGTTAGATTTAAAAAGGTTTCTGAATGTTGTCTTCCAGCATCGGCAGCTTAATCCGATTTTCTCTTTTCCCTATCATTTTCAACGGTCTTCTAGTGAAAGATTTTGTGATTTTCGTAATATCCAACTGAAGTCTTGTCACGACGTAATTGAACGTCCCGTTTTAAATTACTTTTTTCCCCAGAAAGAGCAGGAGGCATTCTGTACATCACAATGACCTATATCAAAGCAGTGAGTTGGCTGATCTCTGATAAATGGCGGGATGCCGCTTGTTGCTGGAGTATGACGCAAATTTTACTGCTAACACGACCGAATCCAACAGATTATTAGTGATGATACTATTTCAACCGGAAAGATCACACTCATGGTTGTTCTTTTCGAATAGTGATACCAAACAACACATATATCCAACTTCAGAAAAGCGAGTGATTAGGAGCAGTGTGGACATTCAAGAACAACAGTACGGAAGCTATTCGGTGGACCAAGACAGAGCAGTTAATAATGGTCCATTCACCAGGGAGTCAGGTTAAACTGTAGCAGTACGTTTTTCTTGCGCACGGGTAATCAATATATCTTCTATCAAACATGGAATGATTGATCCAGTCAGAGAATATGAAAATAATCTGCGGTTGAATTACACTAGTAACTACTGATGTAAAAGGACAAATAGTTGTGCTTGGTGAACGACAGAAGAGACATGTCCTAACGTGAGAAAATGAACCTGGCAATCAGCCTGTTTTACTGTTGTTGTGTTGAGTTAGTTGTAGGTGTAGTATATTGGTGGCTGTGCTGCCGTCCGTTGTTCAGGTCTCCAGTGAGACCTCCTCAGGCATGAGGAAAATGTGCAGTCATAAATCCCCACAATCTGGAAAATGGGGACGAAACGTTGATGCAATAGGGATCGTGAGATGCAAATACGAACTGCAGTATTGCGATATAAGTAGAGAATTGAGGTCATGCATCTTAGCCCAAGTGCGAATGTTATCAAAAAGTAAATTACAGGAAAGCAGCCTACAGTAACCATAGGGACCGCATTTACTTATCCGGTTATTCGTGTCACATATCTTACATTTCACTTCTCTCATAAATGTTGGTTGTTTGAAGTTAATACCGGGTGCAAGATGGTTGTTGGGAAGCAATGTGGACCACTAGCTTGATGGATGTCGAACTAGATTATTTTCTTGTAGACTTGCGATGGGTTGTGTTGGGGAACAAATTATTCCGTCGACAATTTCGGTTTCACGGCAACATTCACCGGCGGGGACGGTGCAAACTTCTAAATTACATTAACTAGCATTGAGTTTGGATGCGCAAAGTCGGCAGTTGCTTTTCAACAATTTGACTTTTCGCAAAAAAAGAAGTAGTCCAATGCTGACCGCAGTTTAAATGGGTCTAGATAATTGTGCACAGTTCTGTAGATTTGGAGAAACGCTTTGCATACCCCGGCTTCAAATTGTGTGTTATTTATGTAAACAACTCAAATCGAATGACGTTTCGTTCTATATACTGGCTGGATGTGGCCAAACCTCGCCCATTATTTTGGACATGGAACCTGATGCATTTGTTACAATGGTGAATAACACTGTCCCTCGTCACACGCAGTGGTGCCAGGAAAAGCCGAACGACTTCACATGTAGTCATATAGATTATGAAAGAAGCTGCCCATTTCTATCATAAATATTGCTGAGGTTTCGAACTAAAATTTCCAGTTGTTCTATATATTTTCATTGCTGCAAAATTGTTTCAAGATCCTTGTAGAAGCCAAAACATGCAATTTTTAAATTTATTGAAACCATCAGGATACTTTTGCTTACTCACTCTTTGTATTATGTTCAATATATTCGAAAACAATTTTGCATGCCTAGTCATATTGTGCATGTACCTGTACCTCTTGCCCACATGAACACCAGCCGATAATCGTTTGTCAAATACCCATCGCCTATAGCGAGTTATAGAAAAACGACCAAATTGTTCGGAAACAATTTCCTCATGCGGACAAGAAAAACTGACATGAATAGATCAATCGGTAGTTACGGAAAACATTTTGGGTCGGATTTACTATACTAACACATTTATTGATGTGATAGGAGTAATTACGCAAATCGGTCAGCTGGTACACAGAAGGTCTGATTTGACCACGGCCTGTTCAACAATCGTCGATGGCTGGGAGGTTTCCAAGTCGTAGAAACGTATATTGGTCAGTTGCGATGTGACGAATTCCCTCAGAAAATATAGCTTCATTGATAACTTTGTACACTGATGATTAATGAAATTTTTTGAACACTTCGTCCGGAATCGCAATAGCGGCTTTCGCTGCCACAACAGACTGATATTGACATAAACGTGCTCGACGAAATTCGGTGCCAGTTGATGTGATCGTAGGAACATTGGTATCATCACATTCATGGTTTCGTCGTCGACCATCCCGGCTGCTTTTGATGAACGAACTGAAAATGGACATCCCTGCGATGGCACGCTGAACCTACAAGTTTGCAAATGATATGATGAAAGCGAAACCAAAGTGAGTTTAAAAATGTTCGTTCTTAAGTCGTGTTCAACTAGGGCAAGCAATTTATGGCACTTTCGAATAAAAAACGTGAAAGTATCTCATTACGCTCACTGTTTCTTTCAGTTGGTCATATGATGCTCCGCATGCGTTCCGATATTCCTCCGACCAAAGTAGAATTTTCTCATTGTTATAGACAAATCCTTAGAGAGATACTTCTAAAATATAGGATGAGTATTAGGTTGGATGTCGCGGTGTGAAACAGCCGTCTAGGAAATGAAATCGACAATTCCTCACAGAAATGTATAAGAGTTTTCCCAAAGCATACACTTGGTTTGTACAAATCAGTCCGAGAGAAGTATGTGGTTTCCCGAAGGTACTATCAGCACTCCGGACAAATTTACCAAATGACCCTGTTCAAAGCTCACTGATATCAATAACCCAGTGTTACCGTAGCACAAAACGTCCGTCTTTTTCATCGGGTTAGCATTTCGTGCAATTTTTCCGCTGGGTAAATGGGGACCTGTTGAAATTTCCTGACCAGCAATAATATCTCCACAAGCTTACTCAACTGCAATATTTCTGAGCCTACTTAGAACGCATCGATGAACCGATAACGCCAAGAACATCCCTTTAGTAGTAAACACACGCCGTTGGGTTAACATTGTTTTGGGTCAACTGTTTTCCTGGTCTCTGTCCACTCCAAGGAATTTCCAGTACAAACTGACTCCCTAGAGAATGAGTTCGGGTTTCCTCAGAGGAAGAAAAAGCTACTGGTGGGAAAGGCCTCTGTTACGATTTACACTTTACACGGCATTTTCCTTCAAAGGGGTCAGTTGGAATGCTCTCTGAAGTATACCTTTTCCTCAGTTTCATAATCAAGAAAATGAATAAGCACATATCAACCTCCGTTTTGACGTGCTTTGAGTGCAGTCATATGAATAATGTTTTCCTCAGATATATTCAATTAGTATTAAACGTTTTAATTATCAGAGCCTGAGAGCTTGCGGTAGGGATTCTATTAAGCCTGAGTTTCGACTACCGCTGCTAGTCTTTTCAAAGAAACGTTTACAATCAAGTGATCCTAAGTTTGTCATCACAAGTAAAGGAATGTTCCAATCAATCTCCACATGCATATTTGTGCGACCATTCACGCAATTCAGGTGTACGGTGCTTTGAGAGACTGAGGATTAGTTTCATCATTCCTCATTGTCAGACTCACTTGTCGTGAGATCATTTGCCGTCAAAGCGAAGTTCCTATCTTCTAGTAGTTTGTTATTCAGTGGGCTTGGAAATGGCCAGATGAATGATTCCCATACTTCGTCGTTCCACTCAAACGAAGTCGGGGTGGGGGGGGGGGTGCGCTTCTTGCCTAGACCTCGGTATGCAGACCCTCTTTCATTGTTAGAAGTTTGAGTTAGAGAACTTTGGTGAAGTGATAATCCATTTCAACTCCGTCAGCCATGGTATGAAGTGCGATCACTGATTCACGCTCGAATGTTGCTCAGGCCATTTTATTGGTTGGTATAGATTTTTCTTTTCTCACGTGCTAATTGATTCTGTACTAGCTGATTACCAGACACTTGATTAGCTAAGTGTTAGAGAAATTCATTACCAAAAAGATAAAATGTAGTGAAGTAGGTAGAACCAAGTGGGTTCCTGAGATCGATACATCAAGACGGGGACACTATGAAGAAACTTGACCGTGCTTACCAACATTGTCCGATTCTGATCAAATAGGGATAAAGAGATGACAGAAAAAATGTGCATACGGTTCAGCTGAAAGCGTGTATGAAGATATGATACACGGAACATGAAAGGCAAATTGACCTATTTCGAAAAATATGCCTCTAACGATACGGAGTATTTTAGGGATATCCATTCGAAAATGAAAACCTCAGACGGGTTCGCCAACAAATGGACCTTCGTCACTCCTGACTCATAGCCAATACTCGGTGTTGCGTATTTAACGTTTGTTCACGTAACGTTTGATTCGTGAATGATGCGCTCTGGAGCCATACGTTAGGATTCTAAGTAGTGATATCTCATTTATCCTAGCCACGTGATTCCACCATGTCCGTTGGTATAACGGATTGAGAAACGAAACGCAGTCATATCCAGACTTGTGGTAAGACTCCCGCCATGTTTTGGCGCGAACGTTCAAATAAATTTTTCGTAATAATATTAGGAATCCAGAACAAAACCTCTGTGAATAAAACTTGGAAGCCGATCGAAAACACCTTGGTGGTATACAGGGAGTCGTTATTCTTTTGGTTACATCAAATGTATACGTGGAAAACAATGCCTTCAATCGGTGGAAGGTCTGTTGTGATAGGGAGCAGTAAGGTCAAACTCGATCCGACAGCCTCGAATCAGTGATGTACCGCTGCACGACAACAGAAGAAGTAAAGCTGGAGTAATTCATTCGGACTTCGGTGGTGGATTCTGTGACGTTGCTTTCAAGCAAAATTGGTTGTTTCTGCTATCATTCCGTGATCTCAATCAGTAACTGCAAAGTACATTTTTGTAATTTGTATTCCGATGATATCCTCGTTTGTCATACTCATCAGTAGCGTGTACATGCATCATGAACCTCTGGCATTATTGATCTAATTCTCTGTTTCTAATGTACCGGTAAAATTCAGATTTACCATTTCATGATGCATAGTTCATGAAAATTTTATGTTTATATTCCTGACTCTGTTGTTCTATCACTACATTACTTTTGTGAGAATAATTTGCTGAACATTTCACTGATGCACGAAAACTGCCTGCTGAATTCCTGACCTCCTGCACACAGCTCCACCGCCCAATTACTATATCGTGAGACAACACAACACATCTGTGGTATTGAAAAAGTATACTGGGAGTTCCATCCATTCCGTCGTTTCCAACCGCTACTACTTGTAATTTCACTTTATTAAATCTTTGGGATATACAAATTTGTACATTCCTACCATAGATCACTTTCTTATCCCATTGTACCAAGGACGACAACACACGACAGGATACTTGTATTACCACGATCACACAGGTCATGTCATGGCGCACATGCAGTCGCTTATATAGGCATTTTTCCAGACTGCGAGGCACCAAGATTGCTCTTGCCGTCGCTTGAGCGCTTCGGCTGCGTTCTGTCCATTTGCCTGTGGCCGATGGCTTGCTTCTCTTGCCCGTCATTTCCCTTCGGTTGGCCCGACTGTCCCAGTTCACTGCTCGATCGCCCCCCCCCTTCACCTGAGTTATCTTGCTGGTTGCCGGAGATCCCGCTGCTTTATCTCTTGTCGTCTGTATGCTTCTTTGTGCCTGCTTCGAGACGCCTCCGACATATTCGCTACCTATTTTTTGTCTGTGGCCCTCGTTTGGTTCGTTCGTTTGCCTTGATGTTCACGCCGTTCCCTCGCCCCGGCGATCCCTGTTACACTATGACTGAAAGCTTCTTGATTCACCAGCTGTACTGTGACCATGCTGCGCTACCGCTTTGCTTGATTTCTTGCTGAGTAGACAGTTTATAAGTGCACTGTCTCGATATAGCTCATTTGCGTATATTTTATTTCTGTGTATTGCAATATATGGAACCACGAAGTTAGGCTAAACACGGTTATACGATTGGATTTTGTTCACCTACCAGTAGCCGTGCACAGCTTATACTGTGCGTAAAGCTAGTAAGACTAAGTTTTTTGCTATGCTTACAGTCCAAGTGATTGGGATAGTTGATAAAGTTACATTCCGCATCATACCAGATACAGTCTTCAGGATATCCATGAAGGTAACTGGTGTATTAGATGAGTAACATATCAGTAAGTCAAGTTTGATCTTTACACGTGTTTGCATGAAAACTGATTGCCGAAGAAACTGGACCGTTTTACCAGCATTCTGCATATTATCATTTAGTCCAGACTACCGCTCACAGACTTTCATTTTACGCCTGATTCAATTAAACATATCTTCGCACAGCCAATAACACCCTCCTTCTTGACTCACTTTAGAAATGGATGATTTATTGACAAAAATACCAAAGCATAAAATTTGAATTGTTTAACAAAAATACGCATGGTGCTCACTTAGACTCATATTATACACCAAAAATACCATATATGCAACTGCTGCTTCACGCGCACTTCAACCTCACTCCGAAAGGCAAGGTGATTTAATAGCGCCTCTTGTATTCTGCTGAAAATACCCCGGGGTCTTTTTTTATAATTGTATATTAGTTTTGTTTCCCAGAAACAATTCGGCTTTAATTGCTAATACATATCGCATTTTTTCAATGATCGTATCTACTGAAACAGAACGTGTAACGGTACAATAACTAACCATTGCGTACGATAACCAATTTACTGCATGTGACCGCTTTTTGTGGTGTGGCAGTAGCTCACGATGTTGGATATCAATATCTCTACACAATTGAAGTTTCCTAATAATTTCCTCTAATTATTCAAGTTATAATAAGAGCTGACTGAGTTATAATAACGAGCCACTCCATTCCGTCTCACACTTTATGAGGCAGGGTTTCGGTTTGCAAATAAACCGCTGTTGAAGTTCCCGTAACTGATCGAAAAGTGGTTGGTTATTCTTTAAATTGAATGTGCTTCGTAGCCGACAAAGTTGGTCAAATAATTTCAGTAGCCGGATACTTTTATCGGCGAACAATTTGTCGTAGGCTTCTTCTTGCTATAAGGTCTACAGCTACGCCTCTCCCACGACGACCAACAAATCGCCACTCTGTGCAAATCATGCATGAACAAATACTTCTTCTTTTAGATCATGCTTCGAGCAAGTATTCTACTCATACCGGTCATGTTTGCTATCAAACAGGAGTACCACAAATATTGTCCAGAGGAAGTGCTTCTGGTACGAAATTATCAAATGCATTCACTAAATCGCCTTCTTAAAATTTCTTTCGGTAATTTGGACGGTTCATTTGGTGAATTGCTTGAAAGAGTAATATACCTATTTTTAGCACCGTATTGTGAACGTTGATAGTTTTGGTTGCAATGGACCATTTTTCGTCTTTGGGCAATCCAATTTCCACGAAGGTACCATTGGATTCATTTGTAATCTGCACTACTCGACAACAGTTCCTTATTTTCTCTCCTGTCACTTCGCTACAAACACGATCCATCTGATTTTGGAATGAATGGTTCCAAATGGAACAAAATTACCAATAGAAACAAGCTGCAGAAATTGGGGGAGGATTCGTAGTCAATGCACATGCTGATTCAAGTAGGATTGATCCGAAATACACTGGCTAGGAATATTGCAATGACAATAGAAACAAAAAATGACAGACTGTATATGGTTCAAGATGGATACGCCCAAACGTTTTTTGTTCCTATTGGCCGGTAACTTCGGGGATTGTCTTAAGAAGCCTCTTAGTTAAGCTATATTTACTTCACGTACATAAAGTAGTGATTGAGAACTGTTTATGGCTGCTTGCACGAAATCCAGTGAGATCAACGTTTTCATGAAATCTCTCAGTAATTTGCTTCTTTACTGACGAACCAAATGGAACGTTTTGTAAATACTGCTTCAAAGAAGTTCACATTTTCTGGAATAATCTCAGGGAAATATCTCTTCCATTCCGCTACACAATTTTTGTCTATCACAGCGGAGCATTCTACAGCACCTTCCTATTTTTAATATGAAATGGAAATTTGATGAACATAAACTAGTAGAATATGTCTTGTTTCTCAGTCCGCATGCATGGAATACAACTGGACAATTTTAGCCATCTTCTGCTTCATCTCAATAACGTGCTGTGTAGTGTTCAACCACATGGCAAACTGTGCCTCTCTCGTTCATTTGTAAACCCATAAACTGAGGGTGTATTTTCAGTACTTACTGAATACAGGAAAATGTCAAGTGATATTAGGAGCTACTGCCCTAGATTGACCGGCGTAATCAATATATCAATGTTTATTTGTAGTCTGGTTAGAGAACAGACATGGAAGAATATCATAGACTAGTAGCATCCAGTTATGCCGTAGTTGACCCAAACTGCTTTCACATGGACTTGTGTGAGGAGAGATCTTGTTTGATTTATTGTTTCAGAAGAACACGTAAGCTGATGGACAAAAACCACAAACATCGTAATGCTGATTATTCTCGTTACTGGATCAAAATGACTCAGTGAAATGCAAGTTGCTGACTTGTATGAACTTCCACAACAAAAAAGCCGTTTTACCAATGAAGTTGTAGCTGTCATGGGGCCACTTACCAGGTATTCCAATTCTTCTTTGACAATTTTGCTATCCGAATTCGCCAACCGCCCAACCACCTTACCTCGACGATAGAGGTATCCTCGAAGAATGTCTGATAGACAAAGCGAAAGCGATACGGTAGAATTTAGGAAAGAAAACCAGATCCCGATAAAGCTTGTAAGCTTTTTCTCAGAAAACTAATTTCTTTGCCTAAAACTCCTGCCATTACTTCCTAGTGGGAAAAGCAAGTGGAGGGAGCCGAGGTTTTATTTTGATCGCCATAACATTACAGCACTCGGAATAAAACGATAATCAACAGTGATGCAATGCTGGGTTCGGGAACTACCAATTATTTTCATCGATCGTCTGATGAATGGTTGGATGCAACAACAAATCACTCTCTAACTGGAAATTCGATCGCCGGTGATCTCAACCAGTCTACTTCGGAGTTATAAAACGCCATGTTATTAGATTGTGGCTAACCAATTATCACGGTACTTTTCATTCCTTGTGAACTTATAACAACACTGATGGTACGAAATTATTCGCGATTTATGTGTGTATATTTGTCACCCCCAAACCTAGTTTGTCCTCTGTGACTACTACCGGCTCGCAGACTCAAACCGAAAGGAATGTGAGATATATTTATCAATTTGATCCCTCTTGCTCTGTGGTAGGTAGATGTCTAAGCTTCATGGAAAACGTCAGTGGGTTATAATCGTGCTCTTCTGGTAATATTTGTCACCCTCATGGTCAAATGTATTAGTGTGAAATGAGGAATTGTAAACATTAGACTGTAGAACAAACACAAGCAATGAATCCTTCTAGGTCAGCAAGAGGTTATTGACTGTTCAGTGGTTATGAAATATTTATAAACGAAGGACTACCTATGAACATCCACACCTAACAAATAATTCATTCTCCCCACCCTATATTTAACAGAGTGCATAATATGTATATTCCGATTATGAATCATTAAAAAGTTTCCAAAACCGCAATATTTTTATGACCCACTTTCTTGAATGTTCACGTCATAGAAATGGTATCCTGTATTTGTGTCCTCCACTCCAAGAAGCTGAAAAGGAAAGAAAACGTGTTGCCTCAGCTCAGGTCTTAGCTTCACATTTTTAAAGATACGTTGGAAGAAATAAGCAACTGGCTTCGTTGTCGATCATCAAACGTCGTTCTGATGAACGGCTACAGCACGCAACTTGCCGAATGCTGTTTTGCGTCAATTATTTAGCAATGGCTCACATTACCGCCTCACTGTTTTGTGCCCAGTGAATATCGTTCATGACGTCTTCATAGAATCTTTATTAAGCTTATAATTGGTATTTATTGAAATACAAAGCTACACAATCTAATTCCTTGTCTACTTGTTTGGAGCATGGGTGAAATAGTTAATTGTCTGTGAAAAGAATACAAATAATATTGGAGCTTTTGGTCCCATGAACTGGTGTATTCTAAGATTTCTTTTATTTCATTGAATTTTTTTGCGGTGATGTGATTCAGGCTCACAATCAAGTATTTTATGCTGATAATGAGAGTTGCTATTACCGGACATAAGCGTAACCAGCTGGGTAAAAATGAGGAATCCCATCACACAATGGTCGCAGCTGCGAGGAGTTTTCCATCTTCCACAAACCGATATTATTATTATGCAATACAATTCGAAAACTAGCAATGTCGCCGGCTAGTCAGTAGGTGAATTTATTTACATGAATGCAATTTGCCGGCTGATACACTATTTTCGATGCAAGGTATAGGACCATTAGGATATGCTACCAATATTTTCCAATATATCCTAATGGTGACAAATAACCTCCTTGTCTTGAGACTAAACTGCGCGCCAACAGACTTAAAACGCATTGCTGAATTCAAAGTAGTTTCCCTACGAAGTATCTATTCCTCGCGTGGAACTCTCTGGAATTCCTTTTTCGGCAGATCTGGTGGCAATGCGAATCAAAATGCCACATGTTATACAACCAATTGAGTTATGGTTCTTTGGAAACTTTCCCGTGTCTCATATGTAAACGACAAAATACGCCTAAAATGTATACAAAAGATAACCCGCGTTATTCACACAATATCTCTGTATTAGTGGAAAGTTGGTTATGACTGATAACACTATTCGTAAGATACAGCACCAATCAAATCGAATTTCTATAGAATAAGGTCCTCCTAATATAATTTTCGAGTCATTTTAGAATATATGAATGATTGTGATACTGGAGGTACCAGGTAGGGTCACACACTGATTTAGATAAGGTTGGTTTGGTGAAAACGTTATCATCAAGTTGTGAGAACGGTCCCTTATGGTATTTTAAGATATCCCAAAGCGGTGCCGGATCTGGTCACAACGAGTGGAATGGCAATTTTCTCTGAACGGTTTTTCCTCACATTTTCGTTCCATTGTGTCAACCTTGGCGCAACAAAACTCAATCACGTTTCAGGTTATTAATTATGTTCCAGACGTCCTACTGAAATTCAAACAAACAACTCCCTGTCAATGAATTGGTGGATAAATCATTTAGTCTTTACGAAGCTAAAATCAAGCTATTCTCACCAGTCAGCATAAGAGTCATGCTTTTCAGAACAGAAATAAAGTTAATCAATTTCAATGACAATTTTTGTGAAAATGGGGCTTTTTCATCGAAGGCATGTATATGCATGATTTGATGTTGTAATATATGAGAGGAAATTGTCACACTTTGTCGTCTGACTGGTCATTGCAATCTCTTTTTCAACTACAAACATATTAGTAAACTTGTTGGTGATTACCTTAGTGCCAATGGTGCTCGAAATGATGAAGCTGAGGAGTGAAAGGAGAGGAACAATTATTGAGAAACGAAACAGTGACAGTCCGATTCGGGATAAACATTGTAGCAGTGTAACGTTCACTATGTGATAACAAACTTCAACAGAGCGTTTAAAGCAATAGAACCAATGTACCGCTGTTCTGCATTTATTAGAAGCTTTCATCTGTGCACATTTACCGAGCTCAGGTTTGATTGAGTTCAGTATGAACGATTCTAAGTTGATCACTCAACACACCAGGTTTTCCGGATTGGCTATGTATGGTTTATTGAACTACGTTTTATAACCCACTATCGTTAGTGGATCTTCACAACTACCCGCTCTCTTCACGGTGACCGACTACTGTGGAAGTTTACTTCTCTGTTGGAGCTCTGCCAATACAAAATTACTCTTTTATGGAACAATTCAGTAAACCATAGTATAATTCATCACTCGCTTCAACTTCCCCGAGCACAATAGGGATAAACCTGAATGAAGTAAAAGTTAATTCAATCAAGCAAATGTGCTATGTTCTAGAACTGACTTCTAAGGGTCAAAATGAACAGAACTGGTATTCTGGAATTCAAAGATATTACATCTCGCTAGGTGTGCATTTTTTTGGACTGGTTGTTATAGACGAAATATATGGTGCCTAAAATTGTTTTCACCCCCATAATTGCCGGTACACGGTTCATCATTGATAACACGTACACTATATGTGTAGTCATTCATGTTAGTCTTCAATATGTTTCTTATGGGTGCAAATATCGAATAAACAACGGTATATATAAACAAAAATAGCAACCTCATATTTGTGAATCACTAGCTTTCCCCAGTGGGATGGCCCTGAAATTTATGGAAAAAAGAACGATCAATGAAAATAATTACTCCTTGAGAATAAATCGTGTCTATGTTCTCTGAGTTCGAACAAGTAAAGCCAGTAACATCTGTGGATACATTTAAGTGATTAGCTTTTCCATAACATTTACCTGGCAAAGAAAAAGTGGGAACCCAGAGGTGAACTGCGCATTTTGAAACGTTTTCTTCTCCAAGTACGGTGAATTTAAATTTATAGTAAAAATGGTTAATGCGGAGGCGGAACAAATTGTCGGCAGGCGCGCTAGATGAACACCTTACGTTGAAATCGACCAGATTGACCAACGACAGCCTAATTCAAATATAGGTCGCATTCCTCATAATCAGGTTCAGAGCGAGATAAAATGTTGTTTTTTTGCAAATGATCAGTCAAATCTATCAGACCGATTGGTGTGCAAACTGGCATACCATTAGGGCAGCAATGCAGACCACTAAAACGAAAACACACATCACATGAATGCAAACCTAATCAAGCTCGTAGTCGGCCCCTTTTCAACCATCAGACCATGATTTTACATTGCAATAAATAACACGGGTAAAACGCTAGTCCCATCTGAACCACCTCAAACATACAAACATGTACTCTCCTTGTGTTGTTAAATTGGAGATGACTTGAACGTCAGCACGATTAAGCTGCATACGAACTATCTGACGGCGGACTGGCTAATGTCTGTTTCCATAATTAGTCAATGTTTTCAACCATTTTTTCACATTATATCAAGCGGACAATTTGTTCAAACCAGATGCTTTCTCGTTAACCATTGTTGTTGTGACAGTTTCAATCATTAGGGAAAATACATTTATTACCAAATGAGGAAAGATAACATGACATACGTAAATACACTTACCAGTTTTTTACTAGTAACCGTTATATCGTCCTCCCTCGTCATATTCGCCTAAATTCAAACTTTGAAGGAGCTGATATTCAGCTCCCTTGAATTCCTCGCGCTTGAAATATTTCTTATTGTAATAGCGAAATTTATAATTACACAGCACGGCGTCTTTTAATTTTTCCAGCCAGGCACTGCTATCGTATACATTTGAGGACCAGACATTATTGCTCATTTCAACAACGTTTTGTTTGCGTATGTCGAGGATATAAATACATCGGGCATCGTTTGACTGTTAGGTATTGGAAGTGAACGCAAGGACAGTAACCGTTTTTAAAGGTCTAGTACCATAGTGATTCTGTTCGGATACCTATCGGGCACATCTCTTTCTATGGCGAATATAGATTTAGATATGTAAATAATTCGGGTTGCAGACTGAAAGGCTTAACCCATCCGATTTTCGGTTGGAATGATCCTCTTTTGATAATTCCAGAAAGCTGCCATCGGCTTGATTGAATTTCTGGCATGCCACTCGAGTACTACCAACGGCATCCTTTACCTGGATCTAAATAACTCTTAAAACTTGTGTTCACGTTTCAATTTCCTTGGTCTACCATTATTCACCATGAAAAATGCAACTGAACGTTTACATTCTGGGACCCGCCAACAACGGGTCTTAAGGATACAGCACGTGTGGTAAACTTATCCCGAAACACAGTGGACTACGAATGAGGTTTGTAGCAACCACTTGTTTGAAAGTCGTATTTTATTGCACGTCAATGAAAAATCACTGAATTTTGGGGCCCCAGCTTCAATGATTCGCTTGTTACTAAACACTTCATTCTGGGGGCTCGAGTATGTATGATCATCTCAAATGGTGTTGAGGTTTGCATTCCTTAAGATGGGTTCTTCCAGAAGGCGAACAGAGTAAAGTATAACAGTCCAAAGTAGAATGCAGATTCTGCCGCCTGAAGTTTTCAAATACAATGACAATGTTTGACGATCTTATCGTGCGCCGTTTACCTCTTAGGGTTTTCTTAATTGTCACGTCAACCGAATCCATAATTTGCTTGCTCCAGTATGAGTTTCTATAGACTTTTAAAGTTAGGCCAACACTTGACAACTGTTTCATCAATACAATTTGGATACCCAGAAAAAACCCATGAGCATATGCGAACTGTGAGAAAAAAGTCAGTAACCGTGTTATCATATCATCGGTGGCTTATTCAGACTCTCGTTATTGAAATTGTATTTGCCTGGGGATATGATATTTAACTCAGGCCGGTGGGCTATATGTGTCTAATATACTGGCAATTGTTTCAAACGAAGTGCATAATCAGCTTTCTGAAAATATCTGTTGAGTAAAAGTGCATCGTATTGGATAAATGTGAGCATCTCACAACCCCGTTTGAATTTTTCAGGGTAACGGCATGCGCAGAAATCACCCGGTAAAACTTTAAATTGCGGCAAGGCTTCAGGAAAGGTGGGACCGGTCCCTTTCAAGCTTCCAAATTTTCACAATGATGATGTAAAGAAGCATCGAGGACCTCGAAGAAAATTTAGACTGCAACCTGGAAAGAAAACACCAACAGCTACAAGATTTTGTGGAACACCTCTCTAAATTGAACACCTGCTTGGCACCCAAGTCGATGAAAATGTGGTATACATGCTCCCTGGAACTAAGTTGCAAAGTTCTTCGTGTGATTTATTGCCTAGAGGTGGAGAGCCCGTCCTTGAGGTGCCTCAATAATCAGTATGTGTTCCCAATCCTGACATGTAACTCTCACGCCACATCTCGAATGCATCCGGTATTTTGAACATAGTTATGCCACCAGGCCTTCCAGTTGTTGACTGTTTGTACAAACCTCCGCATGCAACTGGAGTCACCAACACCGTGTTCGGCATTCGATTCTATATAATCTAAACTCATATTATAATGATTCGAATTGGTTTGAACTACAGAACCCGCTTGCCAAAGTTCAAGGACTGGTAAAGCGTTCCGACAAATACCCTGGCACAAGATTTACACATGTTCAAAAAGAAGAATATGGTTTTCATCGCTTTTCCCATGCCTTCCCTGAGGAATTTATTTCCGTCAATATTTTTGTGAAACCCTTAGTAGAAAGTAATCCATGATTCTTTCTGTGGTTGGTGTATCCCTGAAAAGCGTGAGCTTCTCAGGTAAAAGATTAGAAATTCCAACAAATCACTTTTTACTATATTTTTGTTTTACCTCCTTGGAGAATGGGAGGTTGAAATTCCGATAAATTGAAAATCGTCTCCTATTAGGAGGTATCTTCGTTAAACTCTGACAGAAATCACTTTTGACAGTTATTCACTCCATCGTTTTACAACTCAGCCATATCTGTGGGGAATAAGCAAAGTGCGTGTCGGTGATTGTGGTTATGTAGAGTCAGCTTAACACGGTGTTATGCATAATCGAGGAAGAACAAGATCAATTGGATCCCTTTTCAAGGGACCAAAGGCAAACACATGCACACATTCAACAGGTGTATTCTGTGCCTCAATAGAATGTTGCAAACTACCAGCATATTTTATAAATAAAGGTGTTCTTGTGGTTGCGTTTCGCTCCATGCAAACACTCAATTTACTGTAATTAAGGATCATTTTGACCGCAGTACGCACTATAAGGATGAACCGAAGTGGTCAGGACTAAACCGTGCAACTCAATAATGGTGACTTTGTGATTTATTCAGTTTTAGTAATTCTATTTAGGACAAAGCTTATCTAATCTTGCATGTGGTTGGTAATACAACTTTTATTATCAAATAATTAACATCCTTATGCCAATGTGATGCTTTGTCCCACAGACTTTGGTTATCTACTTTGAGAATCATATATGTATAGCGGAACTCAGTCATCCAACAACAAACGAAACATCTATGAGATTGAAGAGGAAGTCGAGTTTCTTTGAGGCAGTCATCATGTTTCTACTGTCCGCATACAATCGTTTTACGAGCGGATAATCGAGTAAATTTTAGTTTCACTTATAATTAGCTATTCACAAGAATTTCACAGATAACGTTGACGTTGGACCAAAATATTTCATTTCTTTCGCATTTTCTCATATACGAAATAAACTTCACGAAAAATATATTGTAAAGGCAGCAATCATGATGACATGTCATAGGTAATGTAAAACAAATCGCTACAGCTGAACTCACAACATTTTATTTCTACCCTACGAAACAATTTTCCAATCTTAGTGAGGCCGATGGGGTGTAATGCGACCCTTTTCCTCCCGCACTGTTGCTCCTCTGTTATTTAGCCTTCGTTTCCACGGAATCGCATGTTGACTAACCACGGTTCCTGATGAACTATTTTCACAAGCTGTATCAGTATTGCCTATTATTTCTTATATTCACAATCTCGAAACAGCAAATATATCACCGACGTTTAAAACTTCAGCCAACTAAGGGATGAACAAGCTGCAGGTCCTCACTCAGTCATTTATTTCCTTCTGATTTTGAGTTTGTTCTCGGAAGCAGGTGTCGGTCAAATTTGAACTGAACTTTGTGATGCATTCAACTTTTCCACTGGTATTTTCATTTAATATTTTGTAATTGTAAACCGCTCTCGAGGGGATTTCTCCATTCAATTTGGGGAACAGTTTGGTGGATAACGTGTACCCAATAACGTTTTGTGGGAACTAGCAAAAGTAAATCTCATATCTCATTGATTGTTAAAAATTCGTTGATGGGATAATCGTCCGTTTTCTGAACCAAGTGAATTTCAACTACTGGATCCCGTTTTTTTCGAGACCGAGTTACGCGAGTTTCCCTTCGTATTCGGAAATTTTTTGTCGACATTGAAATTCGGTTCCGTCAAACAAAATAACACCTGAGATGACTACCGCCTTTTCCCATCACTTCTGCTTCTCTCTTGTTTCGTGTGTGCCGGTGTACTTCTGAATCATGAAAACAAAAAAATAAACACGTTTGCGAGTGGAGTGCTATCAGTCCTTGAGGAGGGTCAATGTTTCGGTCGATTCAACTCGCGCGTACGCACCATCAGGTTTCATTGGATCACTGGCCCATACTGATGGATCAAACAGGAAAACTTCCAGGCGAAAATTTCGATCTCCGATATCTTATTGATTTAAAAGTGGGAGAAGAACGAAAAAATATGAAATACGGTTCCTTCAAACAAAATACCATCTGAGATGACTACCGTCTTTTTCTATCACTTCTGCTTCCCTCTTGTTTCGTGTGTGTCAGTGTACGATTGAGTCATAAAAACAAAAAATAAGCCTCTTTGATAAGAACAGATATAACATAGATATTAACTGAGTTGACGTGTTTCT